CAACAAAGAGAAGAGCTGTGGATGCTTATACAACAATGGACTCTTTCTTAGGAACACAGGGATAACACTAAGGTTCAGTCTAGGAATATGGAAACATTTAACAAAAATGGCTTCTCAAGACATTTGAATGTCACTCCTTTCTACGCCATCTCTTTTTTTTTTTTTTTTTTTTGATGACTTAAGACACATTTGCTATATTTTGTTTCATTTTTAGTATGGAGAACTCCTCATGCTCACTTCTGGGACAGGCATAGCACCAATGCTTCCTATTATCCAGTACATAACTGAAAATGAAGATGATGAAACTTTTGTAACTCTGGTAGGCTGCTTCAGAACTTTTGAAAATATTTACATGAAAGCTCTTCTTCAAGAACAGTCTCGATTCTGGAACATCAGGACATTTTATGTATTAAGCCAGGTAAATACTTTTTTGACAAATTGTCTCTTGGTACTTCTGAGACATTCCCTTCATTTGATTGTGGGCTTTGCAAATAGTGGATGACGAATTCATAACAATCCTGCATTCTCAATGTAACTGAATTGTAGCTTAGCAGCAGAGTACATGTTTTGCATGCGGAGAGCCCAGGTTCAATCCCTGGTGATGGATCCCAGGTAGGGTTAAGAAGGATTTCCTGACTGAAGCTCTGCAAATCCAGCACCCATCTGTGAAGATAAAGTTCGATCAAACAGCTGAAAATTTATTTTTTCATCCCTTCACTATGTGAGATCCCTTTACCAGGCACACCAGAGAGAGGTAAATCCTGTATTGCTTATAAGCGCTGGAATGCACTCCTGCAGGAGTTGCCTCAGACCCCTTTGCACTTTTAAAAAGAACTTCCTTTCCGTCTGATCCAGTGATGGGTTGCTGCCGGTTCGGCCTGGTTTGGCAGAACCGGTAGTGGAATTCAGACCTGGGTCACAGAACCGGTAGCGATCCAGGCCTGCCATGCCCCCGAACCGGTTCCCTCGCTGCCCTTTGGCCGCTACCATTTTGGATTTTGGTGACTGCATACGTCCGCATGCATGGAACAATTTACATTGAACTGCATGCACAGTGTGTGTCTTGGGTTTGCAAAGTGCGCTATTGCGTGCAGGTTGCGAACCGGCAGTAATGCCAGCAGCAACCCACCCCTGATCTAATCCTCTTTTAAGTGTTTAAATAATTTTAGGACTTCCTATATTATAAATATTAGATTAGAGCAGGCAACAAGAAGAACCTGCTCAATTCTGAAGTCATTTTTTTTGTTCCCAATTCAGGCTTTTTCATGCTACTTTTGGAGGACACAAGGCAGCTTAAAAATCTACAGAGGATGGCTACTCCATTAAGTCCAGTGCCCATTTTTCTCATTTCATTTTATTTTTCTATACTTTTTTCCTTCTCTCTCTACATTTTCTGTCTTCTACAAATGCATAAATTCTGTGCAGCTCTTATGGCACAAATAGGGCTCCTGAGACAGCAAACTACTTATTCCATATTTACAGCATTACAGGGCATATTTGAGTGAGATGCTCAAGCAATCGTTTCAGAAGCCATCACGATATTCAGGTTTCTGCTTTGATCAGCTAGTTTGAAAGAAGAGAATGCTTTTTGGGTTTAACCTGATAAAGGTTTAATCTTTCTTGTATGAATACATTTTCTTCATCCTCTGATCAAATTAACTAAGCATTACATATTAGCCAAGAATGGCAATGATCCCGCTAAAATTAGTTGTGACAAATTTTAGCTACATTTAGACTATTAAATTAGCAGGTTTTGTGAAACAGTTTAAAATAGAAGAGTAGGATTCTATTTTAAAATAAAGTATCTACAAATCTAATGACTGTTAGACAGATAAGACTATTGATGTGAGGTTCTGAAAATGCATTTGAAGTCTTAATTAATTTAGAATTCTTCATATATTTTTGTGAATTTTGTAAATGTTGCACATGTTATCTGTTTTACCTTTTAGGAACAATCACTTAAAAATCTGCCATGGAGCTTTCAAGACACAACACACCTTGGTCGAATAAATGAAAACCTGATTAAGAGTATGGTGAACTCATGTAGAAGGCAACCATTTGTACTAGTATGTGGCTCAGTGACATTTAATGAAGATATGGAGAAGTGCTTGAAAGCAATTGGTTTTGAAAAAGAGTCATATTTTATATTTTAAATGACTTCAAATGAAGTGGGCATCTTGGCTACAAATATTATTAGTGGGCAGGTTTGCTGAACTATTTTTAAAAGTTTATATGATGTATATAAATAATTTTATGAAAGATTCCATAAATTAACATTATTTCAGAGCTAATTATATTACTATAATTCCGTTTGTTGCGAGTTTTTCCTCTGCCTTTTATGAAGATATTGAGATCTGGTATGGTGCAATGTATACAGTACAGGAACAAAGATCAAAGTCACCATTTTGATTTTCCAGCTATTGATCTGAGTTACCTGAAACTCTTTCTCCATGCCAAGCTGAACCACATGCACGAATTACACTATAAAAATATATCTCTTGCTTTGTTGTACTGTGGATGATATCTGAGGAGAACATTCTGCTGTGTAGCTCTATATTTTCAGAGTTGCTTTATCAGCATTTCTGAAAAATGATTTTTAAAAATTGAAGGACACATTGTGAATCGTGCTCTAGTACACTCTAAATCCCCCGGATTGACACTTCTTTAAGAATCACAATAACTAGAAACAGTGGATTCCAGTATTATTTTATTCCTATTAATTTAAATATATAGTACATTTATGAAATACCTCCCAAACAATTATTTTGCTAGCAAAGCAGTAATTGTTCTAATAAATAACATAATAAATAAATAGAATTGCATTTTTTTTCACAGTACGTTTCCAAATCATGCTGGTTATGGTTCTTTTCTAATTTTTGTTTATATATTATGGAGCACTGAATTCAATAAAACACTAACTGATAAGAATAAGATTAAGCTTGGTTATATTTTAGCTTTTACTGAATCTATTAATACCCATTGAAACTCAGATAGCAAAATCTGTACTATAATAAGAGACTAATACACTTCCATTTTGTATCATAAGGACTACATCTGATCTGTTTTAGGGGGAACAAAGATATTGATCTGTAAACCAAGGAAACCTGATATTTTAGCCTAATGGAAAATTGCATTGAGTTTTGTTTCAGTCATAGAAACTGCTTTGTGAATGGAAAACGCCCCAAACCTTAGTGAATATACCTTTCCCAGTAGCGATAGAATAATCTATAAAACTTTGCTTCTGAGTAGAGAAAGGTTATAGTTCAGTGTTAGAAAGTCTGCTTTTGTACATAGGTTTCCAGCTTGAGTCTATCATATCTTTATTTAGCCGTATCTTAACAGGCAGCTCAGTGATCTGACTCGAAACAATCCAATCCTCATGTCTTTGTATATACTGTACAATGTAATGTATGTATTGAACATGAGACTATTGTTTTGGCTGGGAAGAATTTATATGAAATATATAACTATTAAGTAAGGCAAGAAGTAAGATAAGAGTCCTGCAGCTGCTGAGGATGAGAAGCAGAAGCAGTCAAGGCCATCTGCCTGGAGAAATCAGGAGATGCAGAGGTAGGATGGGAGAGACTGGGATGGGAGTGAAAAGTGACTGACTAAGAAAGCAGGGACGCAAGCAGGAATCAATCCTAACGTGTTAGGGTTTGTTTTGCGGGGAACACATGCAATTTTGGGTCCACACCAATGAACTATGATTGTGTGTGATATTAAGATATTGGAGTAGGCGAGGGAAGGCCCAGTTTCTAATCTCTCTTAAGAATGAAAGCCAGTTTGATAACCTTGGGGCAATCATTCCCTCTCTGCTCGAACAGCGTCAGACTCTGCAAAAGTCCCTGAAAAAATATAAAACTCCCATGTTGTGCCATACAAAACAATTGTACCTTGAAAATTAATTAGGAAACGTTTTAAGAACGGCAACAAGTGGACCATGATAAGTCTTCAATGTTTTAGGAACAAAATAATCTGGTTTAACCAATAGGCCAATGGTGATGATTGTATCATTTGATGAAAGAAAGTTGGGGCAACTTTAAATTTCTTTCTCACACACCACACTCTTGTTTTGCCAGGCTGAGTTTATGTTTTGGTAATGTCAGTGCTGCAGTTCTCTATCCATGATAGATTTGACAATCTAGTGAAACCCTACAGACCCCTTCTTGGAACAAGGTATTTACATTCATAAAATAAATGCATAGATATAGATTCCATTAAATGAAATCAATAATGCTCAAATATAGGTATCAAGATATTTTAAATTTTTAAGGGTATACATTTTAAATAGGGAGATTTAATGAAGTTAACAAACACTTTCGGAGTCTAGAGGCCATAAATTACTTTGTTGCCTACATATATTATTGAATTAAAAACTAAAATTCAATTCTTTTAGGGGAAATAAACTTGCAATATTTTTTTCTCATGCAAATTCACAGTCCCCCTGCAATCCCAGGTGGAAAAATCCCTGGATTAGGGTGGGGGGGGAATAGCCACCTCCAATTACAATCCCATGGGCTTCTGAGATTGTAAAACCAGTTTTCTGGATCCTCATCCTACTTCGGTGTATGCAAGTTTTTGCTTGTTGCTGACATATCAGTTTGCAAGACGATTCTCACAGATCAGAATAGTCTTGATTATTTTCAAGTTTTAGATGCTTCTCAGAACATTGCAGTGATAAATATGAAGGTGTATTTTGTTTAAATCCTGCTATTTGGAAGGTTGGAGTAGATTTTGCTAAATTATCAAAGTATCTTAACCTCTTTGCCCCATCATTTTCATTATTGCTTTTTCCACAAAGCAGCATATTCCCAAAGTAGACAGCTAACAAGAGGACCCTTGTTGGTTTTCCTCCCCCTCCCCCTCCCTCTCTGTCTACTGACTGACAAATGGTTGTAGCCCCATTTAAGACATCATTTGTGCAGCACAGGCACCAGGTCAGGAGAGGGTGAAACATGTCACGAGGCTGAAATACGATGTCTCCTGGGATCAGGTCACAGCTGGTGTTTCTGTGCAGTCTGCATGCCCCCTCTCCTGACTGATCAAACCCATTGTGTCTATTGTGTGCAGCAAACAGCAAAAGCTGGAGACACAAAGCAAAAGGAGAGGAATGAAGAAAAACTAGATGAGCAGAAAGCATGCTGCTCCACAGGGGATGTTGCAGGCAGGAAGGAAGGAGAAAAGCAGAACTTGTATCAAACCAAGTCATATTTTTGAATCGACAATTACTGATGACCTACAGTAGTACACCTGTATCTTGAATTTCGCTTTTATTCAGATCTGTGAAATAAATGCAAGATGTGATAATTGCCTAGAAAAGAAGGGAAGCTAGGAAAGGCCAGTAGTCCTGGTCCTGACTGAGACCTCCTTAGGATCAGAGTTGGAGAACACAAAAGCTTGTGGAAAACTTCCTGTCTGAAAAAAAATCAGATTGAGCATGAAGTCCTGGGTGCAATCCAGCCCCTCTCTCTTCAGTTTGGACTTCAGGTCCTGAAAGTACTGTATTTTTTGGAGTATCAGACACCAAGATTTTAAGAGGCAAATTTTTTAAAAAAGTTTTTGTACTCTGCACACCTCCCAAAAATGCCTCGTTTTTATGAAAACAGGCCCAATTTTTTCCCCCCAAAAAGGGCATGAATAGCCTTTAGGAGGCTTGTAGAATGCCCCTATGGGGTGGGGCCCCCCAAAACAAGCAAAAAACAGCCAATGTTTTGTCAAAACGGGCCCATTTTTTGTCAAAAAGGCATGCATAGCCTTTAGAAGCCTTTTCCCCCCCCTGGGGAGATGGGGGGGAAAATTAAGCCAAAAAAGGGTCTGTTTTTCGCTCATTTCTGATCTCCCTGGTCTCCAGGAGCACTTTGGAAGCCTCCTAAAGGCTATGCATGGCTATTTTGGTGAAGGGGCGGGGTTTCAGGAGGCCAAAAATCTGTATTGAGTGTATAAGACGCACCCAGATTTTCAGCCTCTTTTGAGGGAAAAAGGTGTGTCTTATACTCCAAAAAATACGGTACTTCACTATAGCAGATCATTCCACAATGAGTACAACCAAGTGCAGCCTGGATTTGGGCGGAACTTACTGCATGACCTCTACTGATCTCCTGCAGAAGTCAAATAAATGCTAAAAACAATATTTGTCCCTCCTCTTTTGCTTCAATCTGAACCCTCCTTCAGCTGTTTATCCGGTCCCTTGAACAATGACCTGTCCCTTGACTATTCCTTGCACCTGCCTCACTAGAATCTGATATGGTCTCTGCTGTTTTCACACAGGGTTATCTATTCAGCTGAGCTGTTTCTCTTCTCATACAGATTTTGAATTGCTTCACAGACAATGTAGTTTGCCTCTACTCCTTGGCCAAGATACAAGGACGCTCTTTTCAGTATGTATCTCTCTCTCTCTGCAGTTTCAGTCAAAGGGACCAGAAGCAATAGACCTGGAACAGGCTGGCTATGCTGCACAAGTATGAAAAGAAAGTCACCTCATCCGTGTTCAGCATAAATGCTGAGACTCGGTTGACAGTGCCCAACTTGAGAATTGTTTGACTTTTGATACATAAAAAGATAATTCAGTGTTTGATTCTAAGCGTGTATTGTTGTTAGTTGCGAAGTTGTGTCTGACCCATCCAGTGGTGGGTTTTCATTTTTTTTTACTACCAGTTTGCTTGTGTGCGCACATACACAGAAGCGTCCAACCGGGTGGGTGGCCGGTCCAGGCCAGACTAGCAGAAACCCACCTCTGGACCCATCGCAACCCCATGGACAACGTTCCTCCAGGCTTTCCTGTCCTCTACCATCCTCTGGAGTCCGTTTAAGCTCACACCTACTGCTTTGGTGGCTCCATCCAGCCACTTCATTCTCTATCGTCCCGTTCTTTTTTTGTCATCAATCTTTCCCAGCATTAAGCTCTTTTACAGTGAATCCTTCCTTCTCATTAGATAGCCAAAGTATTTGAGTTAAGCATGTATTGTATGTAGTAAATGCTGATGGGTTTCTGTTCTGACCCCCCCTCTTCATACACCAAAGCACACCGAGACAAAGATACTTCAAGGATTTATTAACACACAGACTAGACCTTGGCAGCAATCCAGCACAGACTAGACCTTGGCAGCAATCCAGCCTGCCAAGATAGCCACAATAACTTCTCCAGCTCTAGTAAATACATTGATTCCTGCGATGAGCTTGTGGAAAGCCATTCCTTTTATAGTCTTGA